TCAGGGACCTCCTATTCCTTCTTTGGACTAGAAACCTCAGAATTCCTGTATTCTAAATCAGAGGCCTGTAGCTAGTCCTCACAGAGGAGCACCAGTGATGACCTTTTCCTTCCTTCACCCTGGGTTAAACGGTGCCAGGAAGTCTGCGAAATGGTAGGGCATTGACAGAAATCCTTGGCATTGGGTCTCCTCTGGTGTTTCATTTCATCCTGCAACCTAGCAAATAAAGCGTGGGGCTATTTTTTTGTGTAAGGAGTGTGGATTCAGTTAGGAACACTAAGCTGTTCTACTGACCTAGGGGTACTTTTTGCCTTGCAGATGTCACATGTGACGGGATCTGGGGTTTGTAGTTGAGGCCAGGAGTTTTGTTAACAGGGCATCACTTGCCCCCCCAGTGAGCTCCTTTTACTAGTTGCTGAATCTCTTGTTCTTTGGTCTAAGAATAATTGTTATGGTTTAAAAAGGACCGTGTTGCTCCCCATCCACATAACTAAAGCAGTCTGAACCTTGGCTTCCCACGCCTCACGTTGGGGCAAGAGCACACACAGACCGCTTGCAGTTAAACTCTTGCAAGCGGCTGAATATGCTCATTTGTCTTTCTGTTCCTCTTCCCACGCACGGATCAATCTGTCCGTTTGTAGTGGGCATACGAGCTGGGTCTGTCCAACGAGGAGCCGGTTAGTATCCCGTTACATGCCTGCGAACACTTCTACCTTCTGACTCGCCCCTTGGAGACCCCTCTGCGGAGCAACACACCAAGTGAGGACTTACACTTTGTTTTTAATCGTGTTTCCTTGCCACTGTCCTGTCTTCTGAAAAGGAAGACTTTCTGCTCAGGATAGACTGTGCTCCAAAGAGCCTCGTCTCTTCTGGAGCGTGTTACGGGGAGGCCGACCCAGTTCTACCTTTTCTCTAAGAACTCTTTATGAAAGGATGGACAAAACGGGCATTCCACTGAAGCAATTTTTTGGTTTGTTTTGTAAGTTAATTGCAGTCCCACACAGAGGTCCAAATTGAGAATATTTGGAATGTAACCTGGAGTTTTGACTTGAATGGCATATGTTGCAGACAGGTAAGCTACAGTGAGGTTGCTCCACGACCCTGAGTGCCACAGGAAAGGGCTTGACATCACCTGGAAGGTCTCAACCCCTAGAATGGGCTCGCGGTCCCCCTTTCTGCTAGGCTTTCATGTGGCACTGCGGCAGTTCCGTAGTTCGGTTGCGAGCACCAGCGGTCAGAGCTTCTGGGTAACTGATCAGAGAAACAGGGTCCCCTGCAAATCTGAGGGGGCAGATTCCCCACCCCCACGACCTCGAAAGGTCTGCGTTCACTGGATGCTCTTTCGCTAATGAAGCCAATAACGGCTGTCCTTGTTGTGCTTTTTCTGTCCATTTAGAAAGCTGGCCTACCTCTAAACCTTGCTTTTCTCTTCTGTCCCCCACTTCCTTGTTGTTTCTCTTCCTTAGCTATTGTGGATGCCGATGGAAGAATTTATATCCGGAACTGGCAGGGTGGCATCTTGTCTGGGGGCTTTGAGAAGAACCCGAAGCCAATCTTCACGGAGGGCAAGAACCAGCTGGAGATTCAGAATCTGCAGGAAGACTGGGATCACTTTGGTGTGCAAACTAGAGGATGACTATAATGCCCTGTGTTTGTCTAAGATGGTAGCTTTTTGAAGCATTTTCAAGAAGAGTTCCTTCTTCGATCTTTTTAACAGCCCCATGAGGCGCTTACAGAGGGCAGCCTGCAGAGTTTGCCTAAGGCTGCAGTTACTGGGCAGCAGATTCTGGGGACGAAGATCTTGGTTAAGGGACTTCTGGCTTATTATCTAAAACCACTGCTGAAATTCTAGGCTAGGAGGAAGCCGTTTTGTAGGACAGCATGTAAGATTGAAGAAATTTTTAGAAAGTAGAATCGTTTTGTTAATACGGTCCTTTAGTTGGTTTTTGTTTTTATTGAAAAACTGACCTATGCTACTGTATTAGTTTCAGATGTACATCATAGTGATTCGGTATTTATATGCTACTTGATTGTGTAATTTATTTTTATTTCCTGGATAGTTAATGCAGTCCCAGGGTCCAGATTCCAAAGATACGAAGGGGTCTATAATGAAGAGTTCCCCCTCCCACCCTTAATGGGCATTTTTTAAAAATAAGCTTTTTATTGTGGGAGATTTCAGACACTTAAAAGTAGAGAGAATAGTATACAGAACCCTCTGTGTACCCACCAGCCAGCTTCAGTCTGGTTTCATCTGTTGCCAGTATCCCCCTGGAATAATTTCCAGATGACGGGCTGACTTTCAAACAGACTGGGGACCTGTCTTTTGCAGCTGTTCCAACTTGGGAAATCCTTGCTTTGATTGCATGTCTCCTCGGGTGCCGCGGAAGAGCTTTTCCCCAAGTACCGATCCCGTGGAAATCTTATCTCCTCCCGTGTGTTGTGTGCCCTTCCAGAGCTCCTGGCCTTTCTAAAGAGTGTTTTTTTTCTATGTCTTTATGCCAAGCACTTCGTAGGTTTGTCCCTTAATTCTGCCACGGTTTCTGCTTTCTGATCAGGGCCCATTTGGCTCATCTGAGAAAGCCTCTTCCAGGAGATTTTCTGAGAGGAGAGGGAGTCGGGAAACATAAGGAGCAGAAGAGTTTGAATTCCCTAAAGCTGAGGCCTGTGTTTGGCTTTGTGTTTATGGCTCAGAGCCCCTGCTGAGTTCCCTCCTGCGTCGCATGCCAGACCTGGAGACTCTGGAGATCCTGAAGTTGGTGAACTGCCCCGAAACCTTC